CTTTTCAGTTTTTTTTACTCGAGACACCCAGATCGTAATTCGTAAAATCCAACATTCGCTCACCGAACTCATTTTCAAACATAAAACTATATCTCTTATAAGATTCGCTCTAAATATAATTTTACGTTGAAAGCGAGTCGCAAGAGAGGCTTTAGATATGATTTTATACTTAAAATATCAGAATCTCACGTCCATCCTTTTCAAAAAAAAAAAAAACAAAAAAGACCGTTTTAAATATAACTCTATATTTAAAATAAATATAATAAATTTTAGCGAAAAGCGAAAAGGATCACTTTAAATAGAATTTTCCGAGATGGACTTTGCGAGTTTCGATCCCAACCGTCTCGTTTATCTCCGTCGTCGGCCTACTTTAGTGGAGTTTGTTATAAATATCCAACGATTACTTGGGCTCTTTAATATTTTACTTCCTTCGCTTAATTTATTTACACATTATCTAATACGCGTTGGGACTTAAGTTAAGATCCGCCTTGCGCATCCTTCGCGCCGCGTCACCGATAATACATAATAGCTCGTAATAGCTTCGCTACTTACTGATAAACTTAGCCTAGGTATGCTTTCTTTTCGCATCTATCATCATCTCAGGGTCTCTCGCATCCTCGCTCTCGGCTCTCTCGATCTCTCGCGCTCGCGCTCCACTTTACATTACAAGGTATTCCAACATGTACAAAGCCCTATTTACATTTATGTACATACTCGGTTCTCGCACTCGGAGTCCTTCGCGACATTGATAATGCTTCGCGTATACGTGTCCACGCGCGGTGTCCGTGTTCGTGCACGCGATGAAACTTCAGTCGGGACACTTCGAATTAGGACGCGTCTGGCCGCATTCTCGTCGCATGTTTCGCATTAAACGCGAGTGTGCTTGCCTTCATAGCGGCTAAGTTTGATTTTCTTCGCGCAAGATCGTCATAGTTTTCATCTTAAAGATGCGTCGAGAATACGCGGACTATTATCTCATCTGACACACTGATCGACTTTCGAGTCCGTGACGGCCCTTGCTTTCTTTCTAGGCTCGCACGAACGTCAAACGGATGGAATGTGGATGTTTTCAACAATTGTCTAGCAATTATACTTTATGTGTCTGAGGTTCACAATTCTCCTGGTGTAAAAAATTATACACAAGCTATATGTATATACTTCTATCAGTTTAATTGCTCTCGGGTAAATCATGGTGAAATTTAAATTCTAAGTAGCTCGTAGTCTTGCTTGAATCGTAATTAGTTTAATGATAAAGGAAATGCGGCGTTGAATCAAATTTGTTGGTAAAGAAATTGCAGTTGGAATAATAATGCTTATTGCATTTCAAAATATTCTTCGCAAGGATTTTCTAGATAAAAATTAATTTTTATATCTCTGGATCTATCTTGATAAATTACTGGTAAACAATATTAATAATTTCCGCGCTTTTTATTTAGTTTGATTTGTAAAAATTTATTTAAATTTTATCTTTATAATGCATGATTTATGTTGCAGAAATTAAATTTATTATTCTATTTTTCTGCAAATTTCATTAAAAATAAATATAAAGTCACCTCAGATAGCAATGTAATTCGGGTTGCAATATAATATATAATTTGGTCGTTCCAATTTAGAGCTCTTAGAATCTTATAGATTTTTAGTTAGTAAACAACATTCGTAAAGGCTATGCTATTTCTTGTATTGGATACTTGAAAAAATCTTTGCTGGACACATGCTTCAAAACGCCAGAATGAGCAATTATGTCTTACAACTGCTCGGGACACATTTACACACTTAACATAGCTGGTACCCCTAACGCAATTATCACTGTTACAATTCTCCTACATGGTGTTTCTCATGAGCGAGAAATAAATCAAGCAACCACGAAGTTATGACATAGCGGACAAAGATACGTTGAACTTATCACACTCGCAATTTCTCCCTTAATTAAATTATTTTATTACAATATGGATTAAGCAAATCAAAGCGATTCTGCTAAATTAAATTCCAACTGAATTAAATCCTAAATTTTTTAAAATTTTCTTTTATATTAAAAACGAATTGTGTCAACACAAAATAAAATAAATGTTCAGATTTATAGAAAAATAAACATTCTCTTGCACAAGGAAATCGTGATTTTAAGTATTTGTAAGTATATTTAATTATTATAGGTATATTATATAGTCCACTCAACGTAATTTCATCCACAATGTACCACATTAAGAAGACTATCGAAGCTCGTTTTCGATAGTCTCTTCACGAACATTGTCCAACGAAGATCCTCGTGGTTTACGTCATTGAAGACGAGGGATAGTTGGAGAAGGATAAAACTCCCACTCGACACAATTTCTGCTCGCGATATAAAACACTCGGGGATGATAAAAATAAATAGCGCGCGCGCGCGGGATCCCTTGGTTACACGATTAGCTTAGCTCACGCGTTCTCACGTACACATACACGGTTTTGTTTTAAAAAATAGTAAAAAACAGTGACTAAGTGTTTTTCGCGCATTTTTCCACGTCGCTCGGGAAATCCGCTTGTATATCACTAATATTTACCCGCCCATTTACGATTTCTGGGCCCTTCTTAGCATTTCTTTCACACTTTCTCTTCCTTCACAATAATATAATATATCGTTACTGTGTGTGTATACATACATATACATACATATATATATATATATTTATTTATTCATTTTTATTTATAAAAATAACATTCTGGGACTAAAACGCAACGTTCCAAAGCGGCGCGCGACAAGGAGCTGCCACATACGACTGATAAAGGCGCTCCAGCCATTGCCTCTCGATTTCTCCTTTGTTCTTCCCACATGGGAGGAAATCTAATTTCCGGCCATCAGCGCCGAGAACACGCTCGTTATTTGCTCGTCGAAACCAACTCAGCGAAAGCTCATGTGAGGAACGCACCGTGTCAGAATGAAGCCTCGCGCAGAATCGGCTTCAGAAAGAATATAAGCAAGTAGCTGCTTATAAATTGAAAATAAAAATATCTAATGGGCATTTTCGTTGCAACAATTTATATTAATTGAGATGTATTCTGGTGTCTTAGCCCAATTAAACAAAAAATATATAATCGAAATTATATATTTTCTGATAGTGAGTTTTGTTAAATTCAAGTAAAGGAATGTTATAAGTTGATGGTTTATTAAATTTTAATAAATTATTTATGCGTGGAAATACCAATTCATTTTTACATCTTCTTAAAAATTAAAAGTTTGAAAAATTAAAAAAATTATCGCATAAATCAAATTCAATAAACATATCAACGATATGGAAGCATGCAAATATTTATAAAAATCAAGAACTATCAAAATAATTTTATTATATTTCACTATATTACAATATATTTAAAATATCTCTAATTTTGAGTTCTCTTCCTTTATATATAATAAATATCAAAAGCAATATTAATTTTAATTTATAATAATTTGTTGTGATATTTTTCTTTTTAATATTTTATATAAAAAGTGAAAAAACTGCTGTTAAAAACTGCAAAAAAATATTGGAAATAATTAAAATACCTTACGTAGCATATATACCTGAAGCAGATTCTATTTGTTTGAAACTATTAAATCATGTTCATAAATTTTGCATAATGCGATTTTATCAGGAGACGCTGAAATAACAGATCATCACATGAAAAAATTATATGTTCCAATTCATATATTACTTTATGTCACAATATAAAAAATTATGTTCGTTTATTAAAAAGAAAAAAGAAAAAAGGAACTATTATTTATTCATTAAATTCTAAAACAACTTTCAACATAATGCGAAGTTATTACGTCATCGCAGAGAAATCTCACCTCAGATTAAGATACCGATACTTCTTTTAAGCCGTCGTCGATTCTGCGTAAGGATCGAGATACGGGCATGTTGATCCTCGGCTTGTCGACGATACCAGCGCATCGTTGACGATTCGGCCGGTAGCGATATGTTTAGATCTATGTTACAACATCTGCTTCTAGATTTGAGGGCCCACGCCGATTATCTATGCTTGAAAAGCTTTACACTGCCGAATACTTAACAGTATGCTGATTCGGAAGTGGCCGATAGGAAACGAGCCGGACGACTTGTTCGTCGCACTATGGCGGTACAAGAGATGTTAAACGATCATATTAAACACAGCTCACCGTAACAATTTGTAAACGGTACGTACGTCATGTTATGATTTACACGTGGTTTATACTCGACTACGGTGAGCCATGTTTAATGCTACAATCAACACGACACCTAATATCGTCGAACGTGTGACGGCTGAGCCATCGGTGAATCCACTTACCGCACTGAATACTGGCTTACGATACGCGGTTTGTCGTGTCCCGTAACTCTCCCCGACCCGTTTACAATCATGTGGCGGTGGTACGGGTCTGGGAAGGGTTGACGCAGATGTGCCGAGTATCACTCGATGCTCACGTAATATTTCCTCCCCCGAAGTCCGCCGCGCACGAGGATAGAATTCGATTCGATAACACTGTTGTTGGTTGTTATTGCTACGAAGTATATTGAAAATAATACTTATAGAAACGACGCGCAACGCGTATTCCCAATTCGATTAACAAAATCATAACATATATTTTTCATACGTCACGTAAAACATATTTTAACATACGAATTATGAAAACTGGAAATCATCAGCATACCTAGGAAGTTAGGAAATTAAATATTTCTATTTTTTTCATTTTAAGAAAAAAATATCTGTACATGTATATTAAAAAAAAAAGAAAAAAACAACTGTCTCTTATTTAAAACAAAATTTTAACATGCAAACAAATAATGGCACTATGGCCATTTAAAAAATCGAATGTAAATATTATTAAAATAAATAGAAAGAATTAATTAATCCGATAAAAATTTGCAGCAGTGAATATAAATATATATATATATTGCAAATATTTTATATTCTAAATAATAAAGTTTTTTTATATTTCTATTGAAAATAGCAATTATTTTTGTAAATTATAGTATCTGCGTCAAACAGAAGTTAAAAATTGATGTGTCGAATAATATATGACAGATTTTTGCAAAAATTTCCACGAGCTGCTTTTTAACATCAAAACAATAAAACTTTGGTTCGTTACGCTCGTATGAAATCTACAAACACATCGTATTTAAATTCAGAATATATTTTCTCAAAAGCCAATCTCCTCGCAATCGCTTCGGACTTCGCAGAAACTCCCGTCTTCATCAAGATCCGTTACGTTCTGATCTTTCTTGGCGCCAATCTCGGTTCGCCAATTCCAAACGCCACGACGGGCACGTCGTCGTCGTCGACTTAGCCTAAACGAGAGGTCCGCTACAATTGTTATACAAAGTCCACGTCGCGGTGGTATGCACTCACGCACACATGTACACAGTATATCTTAAGAGAAACGGGGCATCCATTGGACGACGTGACAGTCTTAGTTGGATGCCCACCGATCTCGCATTCGTTCATTCTCTCTCATACTTCCATCCTTTCTCTCTCTCCATTCGTTCGCGAGGAGACGTCTGATCAAAATTCCACCTGAACGGAAACAAGAGCGGCATTCTCTAGAACGCTCGCGATACGTCGATTATGGCTAAAACGCGATGAGACTGCATCAAGACACCGTCGCGCTTACGCTTGAGCTAAAAAGCGGTACGTTCGTCTCCCGCGTGTTCCCTTCGGTTATTCTCTTCAGGAACGAATCGTCGATACCATCACCACCGTCACCTCCATCACCATCACGTAGTCCCGGGAGACGAATCGTCCAGACGGTTTACGCCGTACTAGCTGGTCGACGTCACCATCTCTTAGACGAGTTCGTCGTTTCTTCGCGAGGGGACGAGAGAGGTTCCCTAGCCCAGGTCGGAACCTAACACTCGCTGTAGGACGGCGGCGGCATACCGCGACCCGTGTACATGTCCGTCTGCGGCTGTAAGTGACAGACGACGGTGTGCCCGTCCAGCACGGCCACCGTCCGCGTGTGGTCTTGCTGTGGCGGCATGCCGTATGCCGCCGGCAACCGCGGCAGATCTCCAAGCTCGTACCTAGCCTGCTGCCGGCGCAGTTTCTCCCAACAGGCGTTCAGGGTTCGTTCGACCCCGTACTCCGTCGAGTCGTAATGCGTGAGATTACCGCCACCGGCACTACCGCCGCGTTCCGTCATCGTTTGGCCGTAGTGCACCAGATTGCGATCGGCGGCGGGCGAGTACGGGATCAGCGGCCGATGATCACCGTAGCTTCTTGAGGATTGCCTGCTCATGTCGCTCGGTCGACGGCCGTCCTCATCGGACATATCCGACACCTGGATCTCGCCAGCGCCGACGATACCGCCGATTCCACTGCCGATGCCACCGTTGCCGCTGCCGTTGCCACCACCACCACCACCTCCACCGCCACTACGCTCGATCTCCTCGTACACTGGATCGTCCTCGTTGGCAAGGCCACGCGGCAAATGAACGTGCTGACCGTGGTGACCATGCAGTTGATGATGCCCGGCGATACCGCCATTGCCTCGACCATCTACGATTTCGGTATACGTATGATTGTATGGCATCGCGGCACGTCTACCGCCGATCGTCCTGGTACCAGTGTTCATATCGGTTGTATCATTCGGTCCGCGTCTCCTACCAGAATGGCCGAGCGTCAGGGTGTTGTGCGTCCGCGGGGAATCCTCCTGCTCGGAGCCGCCATGTCCGGAATCGCGAGAGTAAGACTTAAAAGAAATGTTCTGTGGAGAAAGAGTTAATACTTGCCGTTAGAATAAAAGATCTGTGCATAAAACAACGGATGATACGAGAATACGTTTATCATTAACATTTCCGTATCTTTATTAATTAAATTCTATCCGTTAAAGTAATCTTTAATTTTTAAAAATATATAACATTTATGTGAATGACAACAATGCATCTGACAATGAATGTGAAACGTGAACTATGTTTTAGATAAACCAACAATAAATTTTATGAATGAATGCTAATAATTATATGGAAATTAAAAAATGAAAATTAATAAAACTTTGAAAATTATATAAATAATTACATACAATAATATAATTTATCTATATAGATATCATGAATCATTTAAATGGAACTATTGAACGCGAAGGTGTTAAACTTATGAAATTTACGGGAATATTTTGTACAATTGAGCCGTTTATTTATTCGATCAATGGATTAATGAAAAATATTGAAAATACCTTCAAATATTTGCATTTAATAAGTCACAAATTGACGTTCATTATATTTTATCTACACAGTGCACATTTGATTTATTTAAGTTGTATATCAATCAAGTTGTGTACCAATCTCAAAAGATGTTTGTTAAGATAGATACAATATTTTAATCTCTTCATCGCTTTAATTCTATTTATCTTAATAGTATTTAACTCGCGCTACTTTCAAATGAAGCGGCTCAATTGATAATCGCGCATGCATAAGAGGAGAGACGAGCGAGAGAATTCCACTCGCATTATGAGGACCGTATTTCACGGTTAATCATCCTCCTCTCTTCATTGTGCAGCCAAAAAAAAATAATACACAACGTAAACCAAGGCACACAAGATGAGCTACACACAATTCATGACAGGATAAATGGAGCACTGTGTTCTGATATAAAACGTCATAACCGTGTATTCGCATTTGTTCCCGCGCGCATTAGAATAAGAAAAAAAGAGAAAGGGACAGGGGCAGGTACCGGAAGAGCGACGTGGCTTATTCCACAACATCTCCGTCTCTTCTGCTTTTACTTTAACCAACGCTCATCAATCATCAAAGTTTTGCTATATCGGAATAATTTAATGAGCGTCATTAAAAGTAAAAGTATAAAAGAGATATGGGTGATTCTCAAAAAATTAGAATTTCTGTATCCCACACTTTTTAAATATATTTAAATATGTTAAAATATATCCGATTTTCATTACAAAGAAAGATTATAATTGTATCTATATAAGTAAACAATAAATGCTGATATAATTATATTCCCCCCCCCCCTCCCCGATATTTATCATACTTCAAGTTTATTATTTTTATTAAATGTAATGTTCATTTAATGTAATGTATGAATATTTTTCTTGGTATTCAACTTGCTTTTTAATATTAAAATGAAATATTAATTTAGTTTAGATCAATTATTCACATTTAATTTGAAAATTTTCAATTCTCTGATTTTCTCTGTCAAAAATGAGGAAAAAGAGCTGTATCCAAAGAGCTGATAAAAAATGTTTATGTCTACTGTATTTTTATATAAAAATTAGATATTGTATTCTTTAATTATCATAATATTATCACATTATCATTTATTTTTATCATTATATTGCCATCATATTATTTATTTGTCTGGTTGCTTTTGTAATAAAACTAACATATCCTATAAAATATTTTAACCCTATTACATATCAATAATTCAATGAAAAAATATGTGAATAAAATCACTTCAAATAATTTCTATTTTTTGAGAATCCCTCATATAATACTTGCATTAAAAGAAAAGTATGAATCAAATATAAGAATTAAAAAATCTTAATAAATGTATGTCATTAATTGAGCCTCTCTTTCCCTCTACATAGATAAAAGAATTGATTTATGTTTCAATAATTTACGTGATCATTCCATTTATATTTGTATATTAACAAATAAATGAAAAAAGTAAATCTTTTTTACATAGGTATCATGATAGCAAATGTAATTCTTCTTTCGACATATGTAATCCACATCTTGATATTGAAACAGACATCACTCTGTAAATGACAGGATCTCAAAAATGACAGGACAAATAACTCGTATTTAGACAAAAGATCTACTTTTATCGTTTGTTTCATTTTCATTGGTGTGTTAACAGAAAAAGATTGAGGGAAGAATGCAGACGGAGGTTTATAGCACAAGCTATGTCGCAAACATGAAAAATAATCTCACTTTACACGTCAACGAAGTGTATCCGCATCGCCATGCTCAATATTCGGATCAGGTTCACTCCTAGGATGCGTAAGGGTGACTAGATGCTGTGCATGAGTGAAAAGTAATATCGCACACCATGCAGAAATAAAAGAGAGAGACCAAAAGACATACGGTGAACTGGAGACGGCTCTAATTTTAGTGAAACTTTTGGCAAAAGTATTATACTTAATAAGCAAGACTTTTACAATATTTTCATTGAAATCTTAATATTTCCGGAAATATTAAGGCGATAATTAGCACGATTCTCGCAAGAGACAACTACATTCGCAGATACGAGAATAGCGGTTTTCGAAGTCTTTGTAAACGCGGATTATGTTCTCGATTAGATACTTCTCACAAATGCAAGATCTTTGCAAATACGAAGACCATAATTGGAGGTCTTGTAAATGCAAATTGCTTGCTGATGTGAAGATCAAACTTACTTAGAATATTATTAATGCTAAAGCAGCGGTTTAGGAAATCCTTGTAAACATACGGACTATAACATCAGTGAGATGTTCGCAAATATATGAAGCTACAATTTCGAAATGCCGTAATGCGATGCTGTTACTTTTGTATATATTATTCAAGAAGATTACTGCTTAAAACAATTAAAGTCAATTTTACATTAAATTAATTAAATTTTAAAATATTTAAATATGATACAAATATTATCTCTCTTAATTTTTGAGCATTAAATGAAAGTGTTTTATGCCTTTTGTCAAGATACAAGTAACAGATGTATAAAACAGATGTATAAACGATTGACAAAATTTGTCTTACGATAGAGCCGCCCCCGAGATTGAGAAACACAGCGAGCGAATTTAGCGGTGAATTAGTTACCTTCCACATGAGGTTTTTGTTAAGGTGGCCCCAAGTGGCGGTGGCAGATTTGGGGATATTGGGAGCTGAGGGTAAGAAGGCGTGACGTGCGTACGGCAGGGTGGCCACGATGTGAGCCTCGGTCGAGGCGGGTTCACCTGGCACCGTTACTGCCGGCTGCCTATCGACTATCGCCCAGCTTCGACCGGATACCAAGTACTGCAAAAGCAACCAATCCGCCGTTCCCCCTTAACCCTTCGTTTACTGATGGGCAGGGCCAGCCTTGTCAGTGTTGCTCGTGATTTAGTGTATGCGTGTAGGAATGGATGAACTACTCTTTGAATAATTATCCCATGCGTAATCATCGACCGAAAAAATCGACTAGAATATTACTCTAAATAATTAAAATATTTACGTAGATTCAATGATTCATGTCAGTACATAAAAGGTTTCTAAGCTAAAAATCGCACTGATTTTAAGAAAGATTTCACTTCACTAGAATTGTAGAAAAGGAAACTGGATGAATATATTACGATGTAGAAATTGTGGATTAAAGAATTGAAGAATTTGCTATTTCTTTGAGAGAACTTGAACAGAAGTAGTTTATACTCCTATTGTTTATTTTAGCGTTTCTATTTTGTGAATTATAATCAAAGCAATATTCCTTATCAGAAATTTAAAATTTCTTTAATTATCAAATACATTTTATTTATTTCTTATATTTTAGGTAGAAAGAATATCGATTTAATTTTCAGTTATCAAAATATAAAATGTCGATTAATACACATTAATGATTAAAAAAATTAAAAAAATGATATTTAACGCTAACATTATTAACAAAAAATATGCTATTCTTGTTCATAATTAAATATATCGTATACGTAGTACAAGTAGAAATTAAGCCGGAAACACCTTAAGCTCCTCGATCGATGAAGCAACGGGACAAAAGAGACCTCGTGCACCAATTAGGATACATAATTGTGTGCATACGGAGAGAAGTGGCGCGTAGATTTCACGCGACACGAGCAGACACAAGGGAGATATGGATACATCCAGCGGTATCTCGCGCGACGTGCGGTACCGGAAGCGGAACGGATTTAACTCGTGCAGGAGCAAATCTACGACGTAGTGCTCTGAGATACGCGACGTCGGCACGCACGCTAAAGGCTTTTCCTTGGACACATTGCGACCTCCTTCCCTTCAGCGAACGAGAGTTTGTTGCGCAAGAACGACACGTGATTGCACCTGTTTCGAGATTCTATAGGGACAGGTCACGCGATGGCTACAGCCGGACTTCCGGTCCGAACAAAACCTACGACCTGTAGTTCTAACACAAGTCGAAAATGAGCGCTGCACGATATCTTTCGTTCGGATGACTCATCTAATGCAAAGAAAACGACAAAAAAGTCAAAGAAGTTTTTCACACAAGGAATTAAATCATCTGACATTTTAATTTCAACAATTCGAGAGAGATAGATAAAAAAAAAATTGTTTTATACTGAATTTTTTAAATCTATATGTGATTGTGAACGGAGATTTTCGACGACAAAGTAGTTCCTGTTGTTTGAGAATAATCTTTGTGTAATCTATTTCACCTGATACCACCCTGTTTGAATATGCGGACTGACAATAATCAGTAAAACGCATCCAACAGATAAGTAAGCGAGAAAGAGAAAGAGCGAAAGTGGCCGGTGAATGAGCATGTGTGATGCGGTGAAGGTGTGACAAATGTAACACGGATTGGTTCACGCGGATTTTCCTCGCCTGTACCTTTCTTTTTTTTTCCCCTTCATTTTCCATTAAATGACTGATTGTGTGGGTGAGTGCCTGAGCGAGCATTTGAGCGCCTTTAATCCTTCACACTTGAAGCACAAATCCGATTATCGTTTTTTCTTGTTTTTATTATTATCACAATTATTAAATCTAATTTTTATAAAATTTGGACGAAATTAATTAAATTTATAACTTGAACCTTCAGAACATTGCTTTTTAATAATACATAATAAAAAGCTAATATTTTGTAATAACAAAAATAAATCTATTTTATGAATTTTTCTTTTTTTAACAAACTGCAGAATGATGTTGCTCTCTTATTAAGTCAACACAATGCATTAATATAAATATAATTTCGTAATGGTTTGTCAATCAATCGGTACGACAAGTGTAAAGGGTTAAACATATGTTTTTCAGCATGTAAAACACTTCGACAAATTCGATGGAAAACACAAAAATTTTTGCGCCAACAGTTGCATGTTGCAGGTGCAACATAATGATCGTTATGCGTGAACATTCACATTTTCAAGAAACCGTTTTCCATCGATCGCATGTTCATGGGAGGAAAAAACCACTTAATTACTCGAAGCGCGTTCAGGCGGAATACGGAAGTGCCATGAAGTGCAAGAGAACAAATAGACGTGAAATGCGACGTGTAAGTGCTTGCATAGAGTGCATCCCTTCGTACTCCGCCCTTCGCGTGTCTAGTTAGAATTAAGTCCACTAGTACATTACGAATCTTTCTAAACGTATACCTTCCCCATCGTCGACGGAAGTTCGTTTATTTAAATTTCTTCGTCGTGAACAATCTGATTGACAATGCGAATAAGGTAGATAATTACTAAAATTAAAGAAAGTTTTTACAAGGTTGTCGCGATAAATATCAACAGTCTCTGATTATTTTTAATTTTTACTTCTCTCAACTTTTTATATTCTAAATTATCTTTTTAAATTGTGCAGAAAAAAATTACATCTCTGCCATAAAAAAAATATTTACAAAAATTTATATGTGATTAATTTATATGTGATACTTTAAATAAAAAATTTATACATTTATAATAAATTGATGGGATAATTTTCTGAAAACTCTAAGCAAATATAAATAAAATTAATTATCACAGTAATTTGCTTCAAATTGTAACTGTAATAAACAAGTAATCACCATCTTGCTGATCAAATAAAACTCGTCTAAATATATCAAATATAAATAAAAGGTTAGCAACAAAAGGCATTTAAAGGAGACATGATTACGAGAATAAATCATGATTGCGCGAGTGTATCTGATATTACGATTCCACTGAAATTATTTCTACTGTGAGAAAAAAGGCAGTAACTGACAAGTCGAACTTATATTTTCTCAGCTTTTTTCATCATATTATAATTATTTTGTTAGCATATTTTTATAACTAAATTAAGTGTGCAAACATCTTTTTAATAAATCAAATTAATCCTATTAATAATTAGTTTAAAAATTAAAAGATATAATAAAAATTTTTTTTTAATTCTGTCAATAATATCTATTTAAATTAATGTTATTTAAATACTTGTCACGTCATTCGGTATAAAAATTCAATTCATTTACTAATATTAAACTATCTATTATTCAATTTGACTTACCATATCATTTCAACGGCAGCTATAAAAATGCCTGTGTAAAGTATTTGTTTCGGTAAAATTATATCACTTACTGCCTTTAATCTGATCACAGATTTCATTGATGATCCGGAAGATCTGAAATAAACGATAAATCGCGCTCTTCGTACTGAGAAAGGGAGCGGGCCGGGGCATAAGAGGGTACAAAGTAACCAGCAACCGCATTACACCAAATCCCGAAGCCAGATAAGAAGCACGGAAATCACCACTGTTAGTAGGAAGTCTTGCGGGCGAGCGTGCTCGCGAGAGTGCGAATTCGAATGTTCGTGCTGTGCCTGCCTCCCGTGCGTTATTTACAAAATGGGGACATCGAGTCATTATCAAATCGATAATCTGGAAGCGACATCTCTTCAGTCGAATTTATTTGCCAAAAAGAGAAATATATTTGTTTCTAAGGTTCTTTAATTTTAAAAGAAAGTTTAAAAATTCTTTACAGAAGAGTTATTTAAATTAACTTTATAAGAAATAAAACTGGATCACTAAATAAAATGACACTTAATTGTAAAGGTTATAATATTACACGCTTTAAAAAATGATAATTTAATTATCGAAAATAAAAAATATGAAAATGTTTTTCTCGTTATCAGTCTGATTTGAATCTTTTATGATCAATGTAATAATGATAAGTATAACAAATATATTTATACATTTCTAGACAACTTGACACTAATTAAACTAATAAGATTTTATTTGAGCTGTTACTTGAAATAATTTGGTATTCAAAATCCTCGAAAAATTTATTATCTTGATATTTTAAATACTGAACGTCAGATGAGAAACACTTTCTTAATTGGAAGTATAATACAGATCGTATTAACAAGATGCTTGAATTAAATTGAGCTCAAGAAAAAAAACCGAATCTTATTTATTTCTTTAATGATCTCACAAAATAATGTACGAAATGTATAAAATAATGACTTATTTCAAGAATTTTGATATGAAAGTTATTATGTGGAATAACTTATGAGGAAAAAAAAACTTTACAGATTTTATCAAATCTCAAACTTATCACTTCTTTGTTAAAATTTAAATATATAGATATTTAAGTTTAAATATGGAATAATTTAATTTAGAAATTGAAGAATATATATTGTATCGAAATCTATTCTACATTGCAAATAGAATGCTATAAAAAATTCTAATTTTTAAATAATATTAAAAACGTAAAAATGAAAAGAGTTTGTGCTTAAATTTATATTTTCGTATTTTCGAAATTTTTTATTTTTAATCATTTTTAACATTAGTGTGTTTTCCTCTGACTGACGTTTTCCTACAAACTGTCCTATAACAGTATACACGAGCACATTCAACAATCTCTCTCCCAACTACATTTTTTGTTTCGCTAGTTTCTCTGTCTTTCTCTCTCTCTCTCTCTCTCTCTCTCTCTCTCTCTCTCTCTCTTTCTCTTTTTCTCTCTTTCCTTCTCACTCTATTTTTGTCGGCCAATTCTCTTCGACTCTCTGAACGCGACAGGGTCGAAAGAGCTGAACGGTTCGTTAAATGCCTTTTAGTTCGCCGTTTTGCGAGTCAGTTTTTGAAGTGACTTGCTGATAACACCAAAAAAGCTTTCAGGTTCATGTCGGTTTCGAGCGTTAAAGCCGAATATACACTTATTAAACATTATTCAGAAATATACTTCAAAACATAATAATCTGACATACAAAAAATCTAAATCTAAATTAATTTCTATGATATATACAAAAATTATTTTTAAAGAATAAAATTATTAACTGTAAAGTTACAATCATGATAAATTAACTTTATATATAAATTAAAAAATTTTTAAGTAAAAATGAATATTTATTGAAAAGTTTACAAATAATTTCTAAGTGAAAAATCTAAGCGTACTAAGCTTTATCTGTAAAAATAATCAAAACTAGCAGGACTATCTACTTTACATACATCCTGCAACAAATTTAATATAATATATTAAGAAAAGAGAAAAATTAATGAAGCGTTACGCTTCAATTTAAATTCTGTTGGTTTGTTAAACCTAAAACATCATAAGCATGAAATCGAGAACCAAGTAACTACATTTAGCGTTAAATGCGTGACGAACTAAGATCTATTTACACGCTGAAAAGATCAAGAGAGACAGACAGAAACTGTAATTCACGCTGAGAGACAATTAACCGTAGCAACCTTTCAATTGTGAAGGGGCAAGTTTAAAGGAAGGCAGGCTGAGTTTTGAGCGACAGGCAAAAAGTGAACGATAATAATTAATTATAGACGGATCATACTTGTGTTACTTATAATCATACTAAAAGGAAAGCGAGAAAAGAATATATAGAAAAAAGTCAGAAACAGAGAGAGAAATGCAATTTATCAATACTCAGAAATTATTTTGATCCTATGAGATCATGTACAATTTATTACATATGCTAATCTGACTTGTGTATACAATGCCAGAAAAGATTTAGATTTTAATTGACGTACTTCAGAGATTGATCAAGTATTGCACCGTCATTACTGTACTATAAAAAAAAGTGAGAGTGGAGGAGAAAGACGCACGTTTCGCTTTCGGACTCCTACAATTCCAGTCAATTGTGCCGTGGATAAAACACAGTAATCAATATTCTTATGAAAATAAATATGTTCTAATTTTTACAAATACTACGTCAGTCTATATCATACTATCAGTTTGCATATATATTAAGCGAATAAAAGGAAATGTGACAAGTCAAAAGTTAATTTGATCAAAACGTAGTGTCTGCAAAAATTGCGAACATATGGGACTACAATAGATCTCGATTTTCATAAGTAATCGATCACTGTGATCCCGCAGGGCGACTCCATTTCGCTTCGTTATTCGTGTGTCTCGGTTTGGTGTATAAGCGGCGTTTGGATACCTTGCTGAGCGGGATGCCTATTGTGGTTGCTAGGTGCCATCATGTGCATCTGGTGTGCCCCGACCGGCGACCTCAGCGACAAATTGTTCAGGTTCACGTTTATCGAAAGATTCGTATTGTTACAGGTGGTGGTCAGGTTGTTGTGATTGTTTGGCGGTGACGTAGCGCCGGCGTTGGTACCCACATTGGTGGCTGCATGAGGCGACAGTCCGGAGCTGTCAGTGGTAGGAGCCGAGGGGTTCGACGAGGTGTTATGCGAGGCGAAGTCCTTGCCGCCGTTGGCGCCGCCGGTGCCGCCACTGCCGCCAGTGGAGCCGGCCGAGCCGCCTGTCACAGTCTTCGAGCACCTTAGGCACTTCGGCAACCAAGAATGACGGCGCACGAACTTTCGGTATTCCTTCCTCACCTGCAAGAGCAAAGCAGAGCCCGCCCGACCCAACGAAACGAGTTTAACGGTGCGAGAAAGAACTAAAGGCTTGTGCGAGACAGCGTGCAGATGCATTATGTGCATCTCTGCGAGTCTGATACATAAACATTGCAGACCGCAGGCTGCAGACGGCCTCGTGATGAATATGCTATGGTACGCGACTAAAATTTATCATTAGTAAAATAAAGAAAGAATTATACTTTTTCAGATTTTATTCAGTTTACATCCTTTTGTTATCTTTAGGCAAAATTCAGGAAGCCGTCTGCGGTTATTGTGAAAATGTTGTGCGAGTTCTAAGTTCGCAAGCTCGAAATTATAGTGTCGATTTAACTAGAAATAAAAATAATATCGGTGCTTCTCGCGATGAATAACAAAAAAAAAATTCTTAAATTCTTGAAAAAATTATTATGAGCCTACTACAGGTGACAAAAATACGCGAAGTAAAAGCCAGTAACTTGTATTGCGCTTTATTAGACTTTATTGTACAGCGCTTCATTAGACAAATCATCTCCATGTTCTGATTTTCATGAACAAAACAATACGATATGCTAACGATATGCAATATGATATGATTATCGTTCCAGTAATCTTAATTAATATCAATCGTGATCGACATATTAAACTTAAGCACTAAAAAATTCGAATTTTAAGTTAATATAAAAATTAATACACAAGTGAGAATGATTCATAAAAAATTATCACAACTCATTGTATAATCTCATTCTAAAAAAAATATAAAGTTTACATAGTTTTATAAACAACAATGTAACATTTTATTACAAATCATTTGTAAAAAAAATTTGTAATAGGATTAATTAGATTTTACGGGAAGCGTATCGATGCAAAATTATTCTTATAAAAAATTACGCGGTATCACTCTTAAGTAAAAATTATTACATATTTCACGAACAATTTCGGATTTTGTTGTTTGTATCTCCCTCTCCGGAAACATTCAGCGATGTTGCCAGAATAGTCTAAATCAAGGCGGACTTCTGTGCCCCGACGTATTCCCTTACCTTCTCGTTCTGTACGCAATGGAACACAAAGATAAACAGCCCCTGGAGACTATTCAATACGGTGAAGATGTACGCCATCACGACGGATTCTTGGTTTAAGTAGAGAAGCCCGAACGTCCAGGTCAGACCTAGTAGAAACACCAGCACGATAGCGCCCCGCAGCCAGGCCCTGATCAGAAGATACAGAATAATAAATTACAAGAGAACAGCCAGCCAAGTTTCTCTTGTACAATACAAATCGCGATGGCGGCGCTTAAAGGGGACAACATATTGTCATGTGAATGCTTCGATGGAACATGATTTTCGCAGAAGAAATGAAATCTCGTAAAGCGTCGTATTTGGGAAAACCTTGGATTGATTAAGCTATGTAAGTTCGTTTTCACCAAGTTAATAAAAAACTTAAACTGTGGATTCGATAGTCTTTGATAAAAATTTTCTGCAACTCGAAGGACAAACGAAAAAAATATCGTTAATACAAACATGATGATTTTATAGATTTCCAATTTTTCGCTACAATCTTACGACACTGTATTTGTTATAATTCATCGCTAACTGATTGCAAGTTGTAACGTCGCAATCCACTAAATTTGAAAAATTCATACATGAAAAAAAACTTCATTTTTATTTTAAATAGCAATAATTTTCATTCTTTTTTCTGAATTATTTGCCTTATAGAAAAAATTTAAGGATAATAGCAGCTAGTCGATCTTAGGCTTCCTCAGTCGATCGTAAAATATGGTTTTAATGCTTGACATTAGTATTACGATGTTGAAGAGAAAAAAATAATGCGACTGTCACATAACATCGTAAGACACGCGAGGATTCGTCGAAAGTGATATTTAAACATTGCGACATTATGCTGAATCGAAGTATTTATTTTTGCAAGTAACGCGAACGCGTCACTTTGAGCGTCGCCGAAATCGCGGCATTTTATCTAAACTGTTATGATTAGAACGTGTGGCGATATATAGGTAGGCGGATATATCTCTACAATACTTTCACGTCTATCTACTTGTAAATCAGGCGTAATACCCGAAACTAAGGAGAATACTACATGCAGTGATTTATCGTGTCTACTCACAGGAAATGCAAGTGCCATAATAAATATATAACAAGTGTGTAGTTATTATACATGTAATCGATCGCAGTTATTCTGAAAACATCATACATTTACATAAAAATTTTGCAATATTGTTGTAAGAGATAATTAAAAAATACTAGAAGTGTGAATTATCTTTGGCAAAAATGACTTTATTCAAGAAAAGAAATTAAATTATTTATCACTGAAATAAATAATAAAATTAATTGTGTACATATCGTATTAATTAAATATAATTACAAAAATATAAATATTATTTTTGCGACATAAATAAGCAGTAAGCACGATTGAAATACTGTCAGAGATTTACAAATTATTAAATAGAGATACTACTTTTAACAATTAATTAACTAAAGGAATAAAAATGTATACCGTGTCATAATTTTTGGAAATTTAATTTTTACACAAATAAAATTGTTCTTTTTTTATTATAACAAATTAATTCTAGAATAATACATATTGAAATTAAAATTCAGACTTTATAAAAACTTATTTGTAAAATTAAATCATTTTATTGTATTATTTAAAAATTCGTAAATTTTAAATATTATAAATTATAAAATTCTTCGCTCAATATTTATTCCTTCAATCAATATATTAGTTACAATATGCAAACGCTGTAATGGCGTTTTAAATCGCGTTTCCTATGAGTGTTGCGGTATTACGTGGCGGCGAGTGTTTTGATGTATGATGTGAGAGACTAAAGTCTACAGCTACGTTCACAAAATCAGTGTAATGATACTTGGATAGCTTAATTGAAACAAAATAAACTAAAAAACGGGATGATCAAATGAGACGACCGAGATGGTGATTAATGATAACGTTAACGATATGACTGGTGAGTAATAATAAAAATGGTAAATATCTTACAAGTGCGCTTGCAATTTGTTGGGAAGAGCATTCTCTTCCTTTCCACTACCAACCAACCACGCCATGCAGAAGAATGTAGAACAGTGTAGACAGAAGTGGGTAGAAGATTTAATACAAAAATGAAACAAGACAGCAGTTAGGTGATTGTTCCGGCACCATTAATTGATTATAGCTTATTCTCTGATTTGCAATGCTCGATTCGCATTACTTATTGCCGAGTAAGAACACGGCATTTTCGCTCGACAATCGCAAGTGAAATAGTTGACAATTATAGTTATGTAAACAAGGAAATATTTAAACACCAGTCATCGCGAAAGATATTATCTACTAATAATCCGAATCGGGATTGCAACAAATTTTTCTCTACCATCACCAAATTATTTACGTATTTTCACGATTTTATAAAAATATAGAGACTTACTTTTTTAAATAATTTCACACAAATTATTGACACTATACTCCATTACAAAATCCTTAAATTAAATATGACAATATACAGGATGTTTTCAAAAAACTCTAAATAAATTAATATTTCTACACATTCTATATTTTATCTATAAAGTTAACAATTCACAGAACAATAACCTTAAAAATTCAAAATCTATGAAATGATAACATAACATCATAATCTGATATCTAACAGTTCAAAAAATTCGCGTTTTGCATCATTTTTGAAACAATTTAAAATTATTAAAATTATTAAAATTTACTCAAAATATTTTTCGGTGATATTTAGCATTATTTGATCATAAAACGTAGAATTTCTAAAAAAGAAATAAAATAAAACTCAAAATCCTTACAAAACAAATAATTTACGAATTTACAGAAATGATGAATTGCAAATAAAAAATAAATATAGAAAATTATTTCGATAGTGTTTTTTTTTAAAGACTTAGAATAGCGCACCCTGCATATATTTACGACAATTTGTGTAATCGATATACTCGTGGATATCCTAAGTATCACAGCAATACAGTGGTGTGTCGAACGAACGAAATTTGCGGTCATTCCAAACATAGGACTCAAAACCAAAACCAAAAAATCAGCATGGCCGCCAAAGATGCGTGACAACAAGATCCGCGTTCGGGAGATCTCTTTAAGCAAGTAAAGCTTGCGAACGTGTAAACCGAAAGCACCAAACAAACATCTCGATTGCTACTCTTCGATGGGAGGGTCAAATCTCGAATGTGGCGGACAACGGACGCACTCGACTGGTACACGGTATATACAGTTTGCAGTTTATAATACTTTACTAATAAAAAAAAAAAAAAATAAAAAATAATAATAATAATAAAGAAACGGGCTAAGGACCACCGTGCTTACCTTGCGCTAGCCAATCGGGAATGCTCCTTGCTTTTCATAGCCACAGTAGTATTCGCATGCCGACACATCATATAGATTGCCATTGATAGAAATACCAGATTTGCCTGCAAAAGATGACATTAAACTCAATTGATATCTAAATATTAGTGTTATAAAATTAAAAAAGAAAGAAGTCATCACGTTAAGATACGTGATGCAAATGATAACGAGTATCTCATATCGCCAACACTCGCACAATGATATTTTCCTAGTAGATTGTTCAGTTAGTCGATAATGTATCGGTCAATTACCAGTATAACGAGTATCACAGGTCCGACGAAGCTGAAGATGAAATAATTATCTGCGCGCAGCCAACAGTACCGATCGGTACCGTAGCTGAGTGGATCGATTATGCACGAAATTGCTACGACCAACAGCGGTGCGCCATACGCGACCAGATAATACCATCGAAGCCGCGATTTTTCCGCTTCAAATACCTCGATCAGCATCACATATAATTGGAATCCTATAACGTAATACCAAAATCAATATACAAAATATATATATAGATTATATAAATAAATAAATAATAAATAAATAATAAAATATTCCATATGTAAATAAGTGGCTGGCTGAATTACCTTCGAGGAACATCCAGGCAAATGCGCACAAGAAGAAAAAGTGCAATAAGCCGGCCACGATGCCGCAAACGATTCTCTGATTAGTTTGGCCGATACCGCAAACGAAAAGTACTTCGGCAATCAGCAGGCACACGCAGAGATTCTTGTGGATCGTCGTTCTGTCCGACTGCAAATCAGGGATCAGGGCGAGTGACAAAAAATTTCATCTCGCCGCGATTGAATGCCGATCGATCGGCGCTCGCGCAGTTATATACATTACCTTCAGTCCGCGAAATAATTGAAACGTGAGAATAGCCAGGACGAGGCAGACGACGGAAATGATGCAGCCTATATACGTGATGATCTGCAGGGCAACCTGATGGGCGATGTCCAGCCTGACGGCGTGCACGTCCATCAGCACGGCGAAGTTCGTCAGGTGATTGCATTCGCACACGGTGTGAGTCTCGTTGGTCTTTTGTATCTGGCATCCCTCGTCCGACCAGGCACTGTGGGAAATAAGGTATCGCGTGTAGAGTAGATAGTTATTGTTCGTGTATTGTTACTTTTCCATCGGAAAGCGTCAAAAACTGCGCGAGAATAGTTTCAATTTTGTTAACTGTATCCATATATAGAATATTTATCTATAATTCTTGAATCCATAATATATGTACATATCATATATATATATATATA